AAGGTTCTACAGGGATTTTATGCTAGTCATCTGCTGTTACAGAACAATCCCTCCAAATATTGACAGCTTTGGAAAAATAAAGACATCGCACCTCATCTTCGCAGGGCAGGCATCAAGGAACAACTTATCTGGGCAGTACTAGCTCAGGGCCTCTCATGAGGTTGCAACTGAGGTGGCAGCCAGAGTGTAGGCACCTGAAGGCTTAAGCAGGGCTGGAAGAGAAGCTACCCCGGGTTCTCTGATGCAACTGTCAGGAGGAAGCCTCAGTTCCTCTCTGTAGCGGCCTGTCTGCCCCCTGCCCCTTCATAAAGAGAGCAAGAGCTGCAGCCACATCACCAGTTATCGTCAAAAGATGGGGGGTAACTTACGATTTCCCAACAGAGTGGCCTTTCCAACGGAAAAATTACAGCAACTTTGGCTATACATTGACCTGTGCATTTTACAAAATACGCCCAAACGGACGTGGCAAGAGCTGAGATCATTTTCAGCAAAGGAAAGTATGTTCCATTTAGCTCAGTTTCCAGACCTTGTTTTTGTTTTTCACCTCCTACTTGGTCATGCATAGGTCAAAACTGAGCACAACTAGACTTTGACCATTCAGTCCCGCTTTATGCGTAGAGTTTGCCTGCGGCTTAGGAAGCAGATGCAAGGGGACTTCAAACGTTCATGCTAAGACAGAATTTAAAAAAACAATAACAAAAACGGTGGTTTGGTCCCCCCAAATTGGAAACCCATGCAGTTTTTTTCATGGTATACATCTTCCGTGAACTTTGTGAAGACCCCTTGTATAACTGGTTTGCATCCCAGATTTCTTATCAGAAGGTGTAGCCGTCATGGCCTGCCTCAAGAAGTGACAGAAACACATTGCCTATCTAGAAGGCACTCTACAATGCTTCGTATATGTAAACTGGTTCCATTGTCTTTGTTGAGCACTGGTCTTGGTCTAGAGGTGACTTTTCTCATCACCTCCTACACACATGCATGCTACACTTACACATGCACACACGTACACACACATCCCTTCTCTGTTCAGTACCATGGTCCCATGCACACCACCGTGGCATGCTGCCTTGTCGCTCCTCTAATGGCAACTTCATCAAAATCATGCCTTTCACCTGAGACAGTTCAAAAAGCTTCACTTCTAAAAGCTGCCAGTCTTATGGGTCACATGGAAAGAACCCATCTTTTCACATGAGTGACACTATTGTCACAGTTAGGGTCAACCCAGTATACAAGGGGACTTCAAAAAGTTCTCAGACATGGAACTTATGGTTTATTTGGGGGCAAGTGTTGTGGTGCAGCAGGTGAAGCTGCCACTTACAACACCAGCATACCATATTGGAGCGCCAGTTTAAGTCCTGGTGGCTCTACTTCCAAGCCAGTTTCCTGCTAATGTGCCTGGGAAAGCAGCAGAGGGTGGCCCAGGTCCTGACCCCTGGCTGCAGCCCAGCGCAGCCATCTGGTGAGTGAACCAGCAGATAGAACATCTCTTTGTCTCTTTCTTTGTCTCTTGCTCTGTTACTTTGCCTTTCAAATAAATTTTTTCAAAAATACATTCATTTTGGTGAGAAGAACTTGAAATTGATGCATAGTTTTGTTTTGTTTTCATAATATACAAAGGGACAGACAGAGATCTTCCAAATGCTGGCTTACTCCCCCACATGCCTGCAACAGCTAGTGCTAGACCAGGGCAAAGCCAGGATCTCAGAACCTGATTCGAATTTCCCACCTGGGTGGCAGGGAACCAATCACTTAAGCCATCACCTTCTGCCTCCAAGGGCATGTATTAGCAGGAAGCTAGAATCAGAAGTAGAACTGGAACTCAAACCCAGGCACTCCTATATGGGATGCAGGCATCCCAGGCTGCATCTTAACTGCTAAGCCAAATGTTCACCCCTTCCATGAACTTTTTGAAGACCACTGTATGCATGAATTCTAAGCATTTTTGCACCAAAACACAATGCTCATCTTTTAATTTCATTTGCCACAAATTTGTGAAATACCCTCTTCCTTGTAGCGCCCGCGGGAGTTTGGCCATAAGTGTACTGTGAGTGAGTCCCTTCTACATCCCTTTCAAAGAGGGCAGCACGGTAGGCTACTGCTGCCCCGTCCTCGGAACTGGGAGGTCACGTGGCATGAAAGTGGGAATCGTGCTCAGCAATCAAGCTCATCTCTAGGCGGCCCCTCCGTCCATCTCGCTGACTCCCCATAGTGCCCTGCTCTTGAGACAAAGCTTGAGGACCAGTTTCCATTCCAATGAAGCATTTGTCATTCACACTGCCCTGTCTGTGGAGGCGGTGACTGCTATAACCTTGGCGGTGCCGTCCTCCTGCCTCAGTCAGGGCACGAAACAGAGTGTGGCTCCACAGCTCATTCGAGACTTGTGTCTCCACCCAGCCGGAAGCATCCATGCTGTGGACTGTAATGTACACTTGAAGTGTTTTGCCGTGCGGCTTCCATCCGGAAAGCAATAATTTCTCACAATGCCTGAATTACCCACCCTTCTGCAGTTAAGTGGCTGGGTCAGGGTTTCCAGGATTCTAGCCCCAAAATACATTTCCCTTCTCCGGGATGTTTCATTTTTGCTCAGCTGTTGGCGAGCACAATCTTGCTGAACAGAGCTGAATTTTTCAGGCTGAGCCTATGGCGTGGATTCTGATGGCTTCACTGTTAGTTCATGTCTCTGAGGACCAAGGCCAATACGTGCAAAAGGGACAACAGTGGATTGGCATATTTTCCATTTCCACCAGGATGAAAAAACCGCTATAAATTAAGTCTAACCTTAAATGTATAATCTGTCCTTGGGAGGAAGAAAAAAAAAGCATATAGCATCTTCAAGCTCTCGGCATCCCTTACGAGAAAAAATTGGTTCTAAGGGTCTCTGATCTTGTGTTTTAGTAAAATAGAACTGCACGGCTGACTGACAGTTCTGATCTAAAGCATTTACGTTTAAGTTTTGATCTCTCTGCTTTTGATTAAAACTAATGCGCTCATTTAATTCAAAATGGGAATCTCTGATAAGAGAAATAAGGTTGATGTGATTGGATTAGAGGGGCAAATTAAACTCTTAGAGCAGAAGTTTGTGCTTATATAGTGTATTAAAAAGCTGTTGGCGTATTATGGCGTGTTAGATGATGAGAAAAATTTCATAGTAATTCATATTTAATCAGAAGAAATGAAAGTACTAAATATAACATGGCTCTGCTTTTCCCTCGAGTGATAAAAAGCTGTACATTTAAAATGACATCAGATCCATGCTCTCTAAAATAAAAAAAAAGACCTTAAGAGAGACACATAAGAAAGGGACACTTGTCAGTGGCTCCATCACACCAGAATAGAAATGCCACAAAAACAGCAAAATACAGTCACATTGAGAGAAGAAAGCGCTAAGAAAAGCCCCAGACCACAAACTGCAAGAGTACCTATGTTCTTTCATCTGAGAATCAAATCCAGTATGAAAACTGAGATTATTTACCCTTGAAAATATGTGGATTACAGTTCATGATTTAAAATTTAATAGCTTGTTTTGCCAACTTTTCCCCATGTTTAATAACTATTTTCACATATACTTAGTTCTTCAGTCTCTATTTTATGTCTTTATTTCCTTCCACTCGAGAGAACATTAGTGTTAGCATCAGGATTACACAAAAGAAACCCTGTTTGCCGTTGAACATATTGTTTTTGACGTCTAAATAAGAAAAACTTCAAAATAATTGTTAGGAAGAATTAAAGTGGAGTATGTATTAGAATTTTAAAAATCTCAATATTAAAGGTAGGCATTTGAGATAAAGGCTGGGACACTTGAATCCCATATCAGAGTGCCTAGGTTCGAGTCTGGGCTCCGTTCCCATTGCAATTCCAGCTTCCTGCGAATAGATACAGACGCTGGGAGGGAACAGATGATGGCTCACGTATTTGGGTCCCTGCCACCCACAAGGGAGATGGCTGAGTTCCCGTCTCCAGCTCCAGCCCCCAGCCTGGGACCACTACATGCATTTGGAGAGTGAACAAGTGAATTGGAGCTCTCTCTGTGACTCTCAAGTAAATAAATGCTTTTATCCCCAAATTAATTTCTTTGCAGGAAAAGACTCAGAAGCCTATTACTATTTTTTTTTTTAACGAAAATGGGTTTATGTTGTCTTCTGATCTGGTTGCTTAAATGTATTTCTAGATCATCAAGACCGCAAACTGCCACTTTAAGTTTCCTAAACCAGAAAGTTCTGCGTAGCTTACAAACATATAAAAGGCAAGAATAACTCCATTGTTTCAGAGGAGAAAGTATTATCTTCTTATCTCTACAGCAGAGAAGTGAACAAAACAGAGACTGCTCCTATCTGGGTGGGGGATGGGGAGACTCTGCCCTTACTGACAGCCATGGGAAGGGGATGTCTCGTGCAGTTTTTATTTGGTTTCTGTCTGCACATCCCAGCCTCATCTCTCTGTCTTGAGTCATGGGAGAAGACTGTGTGCTTGTTTTTCCCTGCCATGACGGAAACCTATCAAGGGCCAAGGATATGGTCAGCACACAGTATCCAACTGTAATGAGTTTGTGGTTCCTGGAACTCCCCGGGAGGCCAACAATGCAAGAAGAGGTTTACAGGGAGGACAGAGAGGGAGGCTCCGCGCCCTTCATCAGAAACCTCTCTGCCTGGGCCTGGGTTGAGCCCAGACACACGTGGGCTGCTTCTTTCTCAGGACACGGACCAGTATCTCGAAAGTGAGCTACACGCAATTACTAGTAGACCCCACTTGGCCAACTGCCAGGAGTTACAAGCACTGCAAAGCTCTTGCTAAAAACCAGAAGGGAGTTGCTTTAGATACATTAATTTTTCTTTTTCTTTTCTGCGAAGCAAACATTTTCTAAATGAGGTACACTGATTACTATGCTCTTAGCACCCCTCAGTCATTTATCTTTAGGGAACTCAAGGATTGCACCTGCGCAGTCGCTCTGAGGGCCTGTGTAGAGCTCTAAACCCTGTGTGTGTTTTTGTATTCCTCAGTGGAGTCAACCAGCCCCAGTCTGCTAACCACTGACAACACCCTCGAGCGTTCCTTTTTCATCCGAATGAAATCTACTCTGACCAAACGCGGCGTGCACATCAAATCATCAGGATACAAGGTAAGTGGGTTCTAGGAGGGCACCTATGTCCATCTGGGGCCAATTCTACATCATTTGCATTGAGTTTTCCAGCAGCCTTGGGTCCATAGACTTGGCACACGTGACCCTGGCCAACACTTAGGGTTCCCCGGTCATCTTCCCTTCTCAAAGTTAGAACTGCTTTACTCCTCTCCTTCTCACTTCAGACATTCCTGGGGTACAAAGCCGCCCTCTGGAGTGTCACCCTGGCTAACAGTGCACCAGATACTGTGGTACCTACAGGCCATTCACTTTGATGGAGAAGGTGAGTTGAGCTTGTGTCAGTCATTCAGATGAATGTTCTAGAATGTACTTCTGCCACTCCCTCCTTCCACCCCCCCCACCCCCCAGAGAAAGGCTATCAATTTTGTAAGAACATCTTGGCCACAGGAATTTGTATGCACACATAAGAAAGCCAAGTTGAATTTTAGAAAATATTGCAATTCTAACTACTGAACACTCAGGTATACCTTTGCCTCCATTGACACCACCACCTCCAGAGAAAATGTTCCTCAGTAGCAAAGACCAGATCTACAGTCATAATCTTCATCATCATAATTTTAAGGTTAAGGATAGAAAAGCCTTCTTTCTAATCTGAGGGAATTTTAACACTCTAGTTCCTATAGCAACACAAATGAAGACCTATGAAATTCATGAAATGCTTTTGGCAAGCTGAATCTTATCAGTGTTACAAGATACTAACCAACCTCTGCGGCAGTATTTATTATATATGGGAGGGCAAATACAAACGGAAGGCACTGTGACTGTAGCCCATACAACGCTTCCCCGTTTTCCAGTCTCAAACTTCTGAGAGCTCAGTTCTTTAGGGTGACCGTGGAACTGTCAGGGGGTGGCACAGCCGTGATCATCTGTCCTTAGAAACCGTATAGAAGTCATCAAGACACTAGCAGCTGCATAGAAGTCATGGCCAGGCACTTTCCTTGACATTCATTCTGCAGAACATGAAGCAGGGAGGTGGGGCGCAGGCCCTTCCAAGACCGGCCTCTAGCTGAGCTGCCCCTTGGCTGTCAGGCACTTGTGGAGCCCCCCTAACCTCCCGGGGGAGGGGGAGGTGAGAGCAGCAGGGCGGTGCTACTGTGCCCTGTGCAACTTGTGACAAAGGAGAAGGCAAAAAAAATCACACCCCATCCTTGGGACCATTCTGTGTTTCCCTGCATTGCTGAACACGGTGTGTGGATTCCTTAGCTGTGTAGCTTTAGCAAAGCATGGAGTTTTCTAAACAGACTAAAGGGTCAAGACTATTGTTATTTCAAAACCAGGAAGACTTTGCAGTGCAGATTTTAGGAGGCGTGGGGGTTCCTTCCCACTCCTACTTTTTCGTCTCTCAGCATTCTTCTTTCATCTTTGCTGGCTTTTATTGCTCTGTAGGCAATATATCCCAGGAGGGAAGAAGGAGAGAAGGGATGACATGTAGTTTGGAAAAACAATATTTACTATAGTCAGTATCGTTAGAGAATTTAATTTTTGGAAAACAAAGAATGTTCTTACTTTGATCATACAAACTAGAGATCTGAATCTCTGCAAAATTTTGGATTTACAAAAAAGTGGGATGTATAGGTTAAACAAAAACAAAAACAAAAAAACATGGATAAAATAGAGTTTCTATTTAGGCAGGAGACCAAATAGCTAGGGTTCTGTTTGCTTTGCTGTATGGACACCTTGGGAGAGCTGCTTTTGCTGCATGGCCTAAACTTAGACAAGTTAACATCTTAAACACTGATAGAATTTTCCTTCTTGCATTCATTCAATGCATATTTATTGCGCTCCAAGAATGGGATGTGTTCTAGATCTTAAAAACCCAGCACTGAACAATAGAGGCCTACTTTTCATGGCGTTTACATTCTAAGCAGAGAGAGACAGACTTCAATAAGTAAATAAAGAGACTGGTTTCAGAGGGCAGGAGAGGCTGAAGCATCAACAGCTGACATATAAGTGCTCTACAATATAGGTCTTCTATCGAAACAAGTTCACAGAAAACACACAGCATAAGAAAAGATAGACATTTCAAAATTTTTTGCACCAGACTTCCCTTTTTATTTCATTTTTCCCAAACCCAAAGTACCCTTGTAGGTTTACAAGTTCTATTGATTTGGGGCTAGTGAATGCCACCATCCTATATGAGTGCCGGTTCGAGTCCTGACTGTTCCACTTCTGATTCAGCTCCCTGCTAACGTGCGTGAGAAGGCCCGAGGATGTCACCCACATGGGAGACCTATATGGAGTTCCAGGCTCCTGACTTTGGCATGACCTGGCCTTTGCCATTGCAGCCATTTGGGGAGTGAAGCAGCAGGTGGAAAATCTCTTTCTGTCTTTCTCTCACTCACTCTGTAACTCTGCCTTTCAAATAAATATAATAAATTATTTGTTTACAGAGCCTTTTTTAAAGATATAATAAATCTTTTTTTTTTTACAGAGGTTTTTAAAGATTTATTTTACTTGAAAGGTAGAGTTAGAGAGTGGGAGAGAGAGAGAGGTCTTCCATCTGCTAGTTGAATCCCCAAATGGCTGCAATGGCTAAATCTGGGCCAATTTGAAGCCAGGAGCCAGGAGCTTCTTCCGGGACTCCCACATGGATGCAGGAGCCCAAGGACTTGGGCCATCTTCTACTGATTTCCCAGGCCATAAGCAGAGAGCTGGATTGGAAGAGGAGCAGTTAGGACACAAACTGGCGCCCCTATGGGATGCCACTGCAAGTGGTGGCTTTACCAGCTACAGCACAGTGCTGGCCCCTAAATCTTTTTTTAAACAGTATCATTCTGTACAAAAGTCCTAGGGCAAAGTACTCCTGTTGTTTCCACATTACAGACAAAGAGACTAAGGCTGGAGTGTTAATTAGTATGCCCACCATCACACAGTGATCTTGGGAATCTGACTCCACGCCCCTCACACTTAGCCAGTATGCACACAGTGTGCCTATGCAGAGAATGAAGCAAGGTGATGTGAGGGTGTGGCTGGCGGGGGAGGGGATGCCCAGAGGGTCTCCCCGAGAAGGTGGTGCATCACCTCTAAGTGGTGAAACAGAAGGGACCACCAAGAAAACAAATGAAAGCAAACCACGTCTGAAACAACTTATTTTTAGGATTAACAAGACCCCTTGCTCCAGCAAAGAACCTTCGAGAAACAAAACATCAGAAAGTACAGCCTTGAACATCCAGGATTGGGAACGATTTAGAGGCCATTTCAGATCTTGTCACATCATAGAATATTCAAGTGACCACACACTTGTGACACACCCCGTCAGTGCGTCTTTCTCCAGACGCATGAACTTCTCCACCCTGCGCCTGTTCCCCTCTCTAGAACTGCTGCTGTCTGCAGGAGTCAGCCAGTCTTCCCCAAGCGAGCTGGATGCACCCAGCTGTTCCCTTCTCCCGCCACTGGGACCGGCCTTCATTAATGAACCTCCTCTGGAAGTTAGGGGAAGTGCTGATGAGAAGCCACGATATGACACAGCTGAATAACATCCCTATTTATCTTTTCATTCTCAGTAAGTAAATCCAGCAGCTTATAAAACATTCCAATAAAGCTGGTAATCACCCCACCACCACACAATAAACACAAATAAAAAGAAACAGCGATGATAATTTCTCTGTACTCCCAATATTCCCCAAAATTTATTACCATTCTGTGCATCTTTCTCTTCTCTTAAAGATCCAAAATATTAAGCCTTAGCCAGTGCAGGTCATTGTATTTCTCTCCATTTCTTCTGCAACCCTAGCAACTGGACCTTCCTGACTTTCTCATCACTTAGTATCTGTTCTAATGGTCCCGACAGCAAGCATGGTAGCAAAGGTGCCATTTATTGAACATGGGCTCTATGGCACCCATTGTTCTATACTTATTAACCCATACAACAGTATTACTTTAAAACTTCTGTTGTCAGTATTCTAAATTTGCATTCTCTCATGCCCATTTTGCAGGTGGTGAAACTGAGGCCTTAGTGAGTGAAATGCTTTACTGTTTTCATATGGCTCTTACATAGCTGCTGAGAAGCCCGAATGAATCCAGGCAGTTAGGCTCCCAGGCTTCCCTCTTAACCCATCTGCTTCAGGGGTTAAGTAGGATTAAGTCCAAAGGAGGCAGCATGAGCTGGACTTCAACATATGCAAAACTAAATAACAGAAGTTTTTTAAAGCAAAGCTCTTGCCTGATGAAGACCCTCCCCTTGTAGCTTACATATCCCACAGCACCAGTGTATCAGGACTTGGTGATGCCATCGCCCCCAAGGAGTTACATTTACCCTCCTTTCAAGGACTCTGACACCCATTCAGGTATCCATAAGCAAGAAATCTGGCCAAGGAAGTGCACCTGCTAATTTGGCGGAGGGTAATGGAAGTTGTTCCTGCATGGATTGCCACACTAAGTCTCCAGTGCAGTTTCCCAGCTCTGAGCTGACATCCGGTTGTCTCTGTCCTCATTTGCTTTGATATCCACAGTAGCGCCTTATCTGGACCAGCCACTTTGGATGCCTTAGGGGCCTCCCTGTTGTTTAGCTCTCATTGTTGGTCATGTATCTTCGCCTAACACAGCTCTCATTTAAATTGCATTGCATCAATATTCTGCCTTCTTGATTAGGTCTATGTCTGGGGGAACTTACTAGGTATAGCACATGGGGTAAAAGGAGATATGTAATCAGGGAAATTAGAGGAGTGAGGACTAATTGGGTCGCCCCCTTAGCTGTGGTCTTTGGAGGAGAGTTTCCTCTGCGGGGGACTTGCAGTTTCTAATCCGCTCTTCAGTGGCCACCAGCACCGCTGTCATTTCCCGAGTATCTCTCCACAATTATGGTGTCCTACCTCGAATGGCACAGGACAGCAGCCTAAAGTGGCAAACAGAGACAAAGGGAGATAAAAAAAAATCTCTGCCAGGTGTGTGTAACACTGAGAACGTCTCCAAGGCCTTCTCAGAGGTGAAACCTTCGGATTCTGAGGGTTCCTTCCATGACCCATGTCAACGTGGTATTG